CTTATTTTGTTTTTCTATTTCGCTTTTTGGTGTTTGTGTTTTTTCTCATATTAATTCAATAAATCCGTCTTTCTTTTTTCTGTTTCCATGTTTTTACATTGCCCTCCTTTTATGTTTTATTGTTCATATCGTCTTGTTCTCTTTATTTTTGTTTTTATTTTTTCGTTTTCATTAATAATATTTCCTCGTTTTCTTATTCACTTCTACTGGCTGACATCTCTTATCTAATTCGCGCTTCCCCTTATTGACACACAACCTTGTTTTTTTTTACTTCTCATTTATTCATTTATTCCCTCTTTCTTCCCTCCCCTCCCCCTTCCCTCCCCTCCCCCTTCCCTCCCTTCCCCAAGACGAAACTGGAGGGCGTCGGCGTGGAGCGAAGGACGGAGATCGACATGCTGTGGGAGTCGTTGGGGTCACAGAACGAGGTCACGAACCGACTGAAACTTGACCTCGTCCGCCTCGAGGAAGAGCTGGAGTCCGAGAGGAACAACAGCAGAGTCTTGAAGCAGGTAGGGAGCGAGGAGCGAGGGGGGGGTAAGATGGTAAAAAGGGGGAAAGGGGGGAAAGGGTTTAAGGGAGAGAAGGGAGGGACTGGGGGGTAAAATTCGTTAGATGGAAGGCTAAGGAAGGGTAGTGGGTACGGGGAGGTGAGAAGGAGGGTAAGGGGAAAAAAGTCAGTGGATAGAAGGTAGGGAAGGGAGGGGCAAGCGTCTGTGGGTGGAAGGATAGGAAAGGAGGAAGGGGAAGGGAGAGGGATGGTGGGAAGTAGGGGGGAATGGGAAAGGAATTAAGGAAAGGAGAAGGCGAGCGGAGGGAAGTAAGGGGTTAGAGGAAGGATGAAGAATCGGTGGATGGAAGAGTAGGAGGGGCTAAGGGGGAGGGGGAAAACTAGGAAAGATATGGAAAGGGAATAAGGGGAAAGGATAAGTTGAAAAGGACTGGAGGAAGGGAAGAGGGAGTTAGAAGGTGAGTGGAAGGATAGAATGAGATGGGAAATAGGAAAGGATGGGAGGGAGAAAAGGAAACGGAAAAGGACAAAGGTGGATGGATGGAGGACTGGAAGAGGAGAAGGGAGGAGTGTGGGTTGGAAAATGGGCAATGGAGATAAGTAGGAGGAAGGACAGTGGGACAAGAGAAAGGGGTGATGAATAGGAGAACGAAGAGAATTAGAGGGAGGAGGAAGAAAAGTGAAAGGCCAGGGAGATGTAACTTTAATCTAAAGAACCAAAGAGAGCTAAGTCCAGAGGCCATTAAAAAAGGGGGGGGCGTAAACCGGAAAGACGAAATAGAAAACGAGATTGAAATACGGGAGAAAATGGGATAACCCAAAATGAAAACAGGAAACCCTAAAATGAAAACGAGGGAAAACTGAAAAAAAAAAAAAAAAATAAATAAGAATAAGAATAAATAAATGAATAAATAGATAAAAAAAAGAAAAAGAAAATGAAAATAAACAATTTTCAGGCTCGACCCCCTCAATAGAATTAGAACCACCAAGAGCATATCAATTCCCCTCACGAATTTCTTCATTATCTCTTGGATATCAGAAGCCCTTCCAAATCATCACCAAAGACAAACCACCATTTCAGAAGTGAAAAATGAACAATCTTGACGACCCATCCTAACTACAGCCATTTTTTTCAGGAACTGGAGGAGAACAAACAAAAAAGCGAGGAACTAGAAGAGAAACTGATGAAAATCGAACAAGGCAGCAAAATGTCGATGATGTTTGTAAATAATCAGATTATGAAAGTTAATAATGATCTGAAGGGTGTGAAGACGGTAGTCAATGAAGTGAAGGATAAACAGGTAGGGAGAGAGAGAGAGAGAGAGGGGGGGGGGCAGACATACACAGACACATAGGTATATGCTTATATGTATTATGTACACACAAACACATACGCATGCATCCCTACATAAACACAAGTATATATATAAGTGTATATAAACACACGCACACACACACACAAACACACACACACACACATACATATATATATATATATATATATATATATATATATATATATATATATATATATATATATATAATATATATACATATATATATATATATATATATATATATATATATATATATATATATATATATATATATATATATATATATATATATATATATATATATATATATATATATATATACGCGCGCGCGACACACACACATGGACATCTTACAGGTTGACCCCGCACTAGAGAAAAAAATCAAACTTGGCTGAAACATTCCAGGAACACCATGTATGCATTTGATACTGAATCGCAAAGGTAACCATTATGAATCTGAAGTACTAAGACCAAGGATGAATCGCTGCAATTTGAGAGTGAGATCGATATTTATCTGATTATTCTCTTATGCCAACAGAGTGAACTTGACGCGATGGAAAACGTGAGTTGATATTTTGGGTCTTTTCGTCTTAGGGAATGAACAATACTGTGATATGCAGAAAATATGAATATATAGATATGCAAGCGAAAAAGAAAACACACACACACACACACACACCACACACACACACACACATACACACACACACACACACACACACACACACACACACACACACACACACACACACACACACACACACACACACACACACACATATTATATATATATATAATATATATATATATATATATATATATATATATGTGTGTGTGTGTGTGTGTGTGTGTGTGTGTGTGTGTGTGTGTGTGTGTATGTATGTGTGTGTGTGTTGTGTGTGTATATATATATATATATATATAATATATATAATATATATATATATATATATATATATATATATACATATGTGCCCTGACCCGAGCAGAAGGTGGAGGACCACGAGCGCAGGATCAGCCACTGGGAGGCCGAGGGCAACGTGACCAAGAGCGGCTGGGCGGGGGCCATCCTGCGCCAGGTGGAGGACACGGTGGCGCCCCTCCGCCTCGCCTTCGACACGGCCTCCAACGACACGGCCAGGGTGAGTGAGGGGAACAGGGGGCGTAGGGACGATGGGCGGATTAACGGGTTAAGAAAGGAGGCAGAGAGGGAGAAGAGAATGGTATACAGGGACAAGAGATAACGAGAAAAAAAAACGCAGAAATTCAATCGGTTCTCTCCCTCTTGTTCACCCTTCACTACCTACAGTAGAACGCGAACTGCCTCTCAGCAAGGCCCTCCCTAACAGTGCCGTGTGCTCTTCCGTTCCGTCTTTCGCACGACCAGAAGCACATCGACAGGTAACATCAGGCCGGGCTAGAGGACGACTAAAGTAAATGCCAAGGCAGTATCGCCCATCCATGTAAGGATATGGAGTGGCTAAATAATCATTTTGTTCCGGTTGCAGAGCAGCCAATTTCCAACAGCACTGAATGAATTACTAAAATGGTAAAGTGCGTGAACTGAGAAAGTATGAGAAGAGCATTGCTAAAGCCTTCCGTGCGTAGAAGCTCTACTGTTGGCACAGGGCCGTAGGGCTGTTAAGCCACTGAGGGCCTCTGCGAGATCCACTGGCGGGGCACACCAGACAAGCCTAACAGAACACAAGTACTTGCGAAGCGGGGCGAATTAGAACCAGTGATTCGTGTAATTAGTTCAATTCCTACTTAAAAGAAAAAGTGGCAGAAGAGTATCATAAAATAACACTAGTTGAGGACTGGCCTGCCATCTCATCATCATAGCAGTACTATGTCATTCCTCAAAGGAGGAAGAGCTACCATTCCTCGGTAATTTTCTATATTACGTCCGCATGACCGATATCGACGATTTTGGTATCGTTGGATTCCTCTCACTCTCCACATTGCAAATATATAGTTTTTATTGCGCGCTAACCCCCCGTTAGCGACAAACTTGGCCCCCGATAGCAGGGGAGGGCATGAAAGGTTCCAGGGAAAATGCGGGTTAAATAGCACTAATAATATAACGCACAGTGAAAATAACCATGGTTATTCACATAACTTTCCATAATAACCAGGTTATTCACATAACTTTCCATTGCAGGGAGCTGCGCCCCTGCGACCCCCCCTAGGGGGGGCTGCGCCCCCCAACCCCCGCGAGGAAACAAAACCTCCACCACGTATTCACGGCAGGATAGAGCGTTACACAATCATCGTCGATGTCGGAGCAGGGGCGTATTACCTCGTTAGATTCTCACTGAATCAGCATATTAACCTTCTATAGTCAGCATTGTATATAGAGACAATTGTAGTATACAGGATAAACACGGTGGCCCGCCCTCGTCAGCGGTTTTGCGCCTTTTTCGATGTTACACCGATGGCCTCAAAGTCGAGTTTCCCTTCCTCTGGAATAACGACATTCGTATTCCTAACCGAATAACCGTCGCGTTCAGGTCAGTCATAGTCGCCGCGATGGCCGAGTGTGGTGGGTGCTCGTACTCCGAGACGGGTTTTCTGCGCGAGATTGCCATTAGCCAAGAAAAAATGCTAGATATGTGCTTCCGCCACGGCCTCCTTCGTCGTGAGAAAGATTGCGGCAGGTGCGGGCAGCCAGCACCTGAATGTGAGGTTGCATCACTTCCTGTATGCTGCAGCGTCGCTGTATCCTCCGGCCTAGGACCTCCTGCCGGACGCACCCTGCCTCCTTCACATTTTGCGGCAAAGGAGCACCCTCCCTAGTAATTAGCGGCATTAATAAATCAGGTTAGTACCCTAAAATCCAATGTTATTGTAGGTTATCGGCTCCGCATCGTGTGCGCTCTATCCTGCCGTGAATACGTGGTGAGGTTTTGCTTCCTCGGCGGGTTAGGGGCGGCAGCCCCCCCCAGGGGGTCACAGGGGGCGCAGCCTCCTGCAATGGAAAGTCATGTGAATAACTATGATTATTTTCACTGTGAGATTAAATTATTAGGGTAATTTTCTATATTACGTCCGGCGCTCCGACATCGTCGCCCCCGCAATCGGGACCAAGTTTGTCGCTAATAAAACCTATCTATTTGCATTGTATAGAGTGAGAGGAATCCAACGATACCAAAATCGTCGATATCGGTCATGCGGACGTAATATAGAAAATTACCCATTATCATAGCAGTACTATGTCATTCCTCAAAGGAGGAAGAGCTACCATTCCAAGTGCTTCGAATAAAAAGGAAAGAGTCCTACGGGCTTTCTGATTTTGGGTAATCATGCAGTCATAATATATGTGATTAAGCCCAGAATATAATCCCCCCAAAATGTTTCGAGATCAATGAAGAATGAAAGGATACTTCAGAGAATGTCATTACAGCAAGGTTCCTTGGCCGACTTGGCCGGACTTGCCAGACCTACGAAGTAGGCAAAACCTAAGAAGCAGACGGCCAAGGAACCTTAGAAGCAGACGGCCGAGGAACCTTGCAGTAATGACATTCTCTGAAGCATCCTTCCACTCCTCATTGATCTCGAAACATTTTTTTTTTTTTTTTTTTTTTTTTGGGGGGGGGGCATATTCTAAGCTTAATCACAAAAATTATGACTGCATGATTAGCCACCCGAGTGCTCAGCTAATGGAAAGTGTCAATGGAATTCTAGCAAATACTGTTGAAAAGTCTCTGTGGACATCCCATCACAGGGTACCTACTTTTAGAGAAGTCCTTGATATGGTTATTGTTAGAGGCTGTAATCAAGTAACTTATAAGAAGAAATTCTCGTAAAAGTTATATGAAAAACGAAGATAGAGTAAACGATTTTCGCTGTACCACTAATAGCACAAACAAATCTGTTTAACTCTTGGTCTTCAGATTTTTCCAGTTTATATATTAGAGTATTACTGATGACCGAGAACTCACGACTGGAAGTGGTGGCGCGTCGGTGTCCAATCTAAGTTCGCTCAGGTGAAGTTACTCCAGAATCTTGTTCTCTATGCACTTGGGAGCTGGGAATCCCCAAAGCATTTTACAACAACAGGATATATGAGCTCAAGCAAAGATAACAGTGATCGAGCAACAAAGCAATTGTTAGTAGGCCTTGTGAATTGGCTAGAACTTAGGCAAGGGCTACGAAGAACATACATATTATTGTTCTTAAAAATGCAATTAGTGAATGTATATTAGGTGGAATACACATACAAAGTTCTATAAATATCAAAAGCAAATAAGAATCAAATAAAAAGGATGGAAACTTTGAAGCAGATGCATCCACTAGAATGGCTTTACGTTAATAGCAGAATGATAAACCACCCGTATTGACAGTAGCATAAAAAGGTTAAAGAGAGAGAGAGAGAGAGTACGAGTGAGTGAGAATAAGAAAAAGAGAGAAAGAGAAAGATTTTAAGAATAAGAGAGGGGGAATATAGAGAGATCATTCCTTTGACCCATTTGCCCTGACCCGAGCAGAAGGTGGAGGACCACGAGCGCAGGATCAGCCACTGGGAGGCCGAGGGCAACGTGACCAAGAGCGGCTGGGCGGGGGCCATCCTGCGCCAGGTGGAGGACACGGTGGCGCCCCTCCGCCTCGCCATCGACCTCCTCAACGACACGATCACCAATGACACAGCCAAGGTGAGTCACGGGAACAGAAAGCAGGTAAAAACGAAAGCCATGGGCTAGAAGGGGCTCGGGGGAGCGCCGTAGAGGACCGCCATGAAGGCCGCGGGAAAACAAGACGGGTCGGACTGTGGGAGCTTCGAGCGCCTGAAAATGGATTTGAGGGAGACCAAATCCATGCCATTAGTGCTTCGTACAAAAGGAAAAAGAATTCGACCTCATGGATCGGGTCCAGAGGTGATTGGGTTGATTGTTGTGAAGCGTTTGCTCCTCAACCTAAATTCTCACGCAAATACTTTCAGACCAGGGGCTGTAGCATATAGTGAATTTCATTATCAATATACTTGCTACCTAGAATAACAAGGATTAAAGTCACTTCGTTTTGCTGTTCAAAAGGGTTGCGTCACTGAAAACGAGTCGGTATTGGTTATTGTGAAAGAGCGTTCCAAAGTGTAATGGATAGTCTGAAATTTCATTTGACAAGATTAATTGAATTGAAATATGTACTATTGTCAGGGAATGTAAAGAGACACCGCGCGAGGTACTGCTTGGAATTTTAAAGGATAAGAAGACAGAAAAATCTGCGTTGAACTGATCCTAGCTTGTTCGATGCCGGTCTTTAACGGGGGGCTTGAAGGCGATTAGAGGCAGTGGTTGATGGTGCCGAGAGATCTTCAAGCAGCTGTTGGGAATGAGTCATCTGGATCTGGAAGGACTTGGGCACTCACACGGTCCGCATACGGTCCTGGAGCATTTTCGTATACGGTTTCGCACAAGCGGTCTTGCTCCAGGCACGGTCCCGTCATCCCTCTCCCTCAGCAGCTCAAGTTGTTGGATTAAGTAGGATTTATCAAAAGAAACCGTGGTCAATGACCCCTGTGGCGTTAGAAGGATGAGGCGAGGGCAGATCAGGGTCTGGGGCTGTATGGGAACAGGAAGGCATTTGCAGCACGCTGGCGGAGATGATCAAGCGTCAATTCACGGTGGTTCTGTGCAGTCATTGGAACTTCCTATACGGCTATGTAGGACACATTCATGATTGCGAGGTAGTAAGCAGAGATAGGATCGAGAGAGAGACAGAGACAGAGAGAGAGATTATTCCTTTGACCCATTTGCCCTGACCCGAGCAGAAGGTGGAGGACCACGAGCGCAGGATCAGCCACTGGGAGGCCGAGGGCAACGTGACCAAGAGCGGCTGGGCGGGGGCCATCCTGCGCCAGGTGGAGGACACGGCGGCGCCCCTCCGCCTCGCCATCGACCTCCTCAACGGCACGACGGCCTCCCTCAGGAACGCGACGACGAAGGTGAGTGAAGGAAGAGACGACTGATGAGAAAAGGTAAATTCCGGATGGTCATGAGGCAGACATAGGAAACCATCCAATAAAGAAACACTTTAGTGATCAGTTTATGTGAATAACTCATCCTAACAGACATAGTGAGATTCTGTTAGATACAAGCATCTACTTAAGACCATACTTTTCTTTTTCAATTACGACATACTACCATTACCGAGTGCAGAGTATAATGGTGTTTTACGTGTCGCCCAATATCATCTAACGAAGAGAAAGCTTTGATTACGGGTTCTTCCACCTCGCCATTCCCCCTTTCTCATCCCTCAGGCGAAGGAGGACATACAAGAAATAGTACAAGAGAGAGAAATAGACCGGGAGTATGTAAAAATCCTGGAGGAGGCGCTGGAGGGAACGTCTTCTGAGGTGGACCGACTGACCGCCAACCTGGACCAGCTGGTGATCACGTTCCTCTTCCCGATGAACGACAGCATCTCGGCGCTGCGGAACGCCACGCACGACCTCAGGGACGAGCTCACGCAGGTAGGGAGGGCCGACTGCGACGACGCCCGATTCTGGTATAAAAGTTTGTTTTTCTCTCTCTCTAGGTTTATTCTTGCCTCTTATTTCTTGTTCATCCTTGCCTGTTATTTCGTGTTTATTCTTGCTTGTTATTTCTTGTTTATTCTTGCTTCTTCAAATTAAGAATAATCATTTTGAAAAAAAATAATGACAACTCCATCCAGTTAAAATCACAATACTGAGCAGATTGATATAGTAAGAAGAATTATGAAATTGTGAAGCTATTTACTGTAACAGTGATAATAATGATAATGATAGCAGTCGTAATAACAATGATAATGATAATAATAGTAAAAATAACAGTGGTAATAAGGATAATGACAATAGTAATAATGGCAATGACAAAACTATGATGATAATGACTGTGATAAAAGAAATTATCAAACGAATAAGAGCAGCAACAATAACGACAGTATTAATGACGTGAAGAAGAAAAGCTCCCATTAATTCCTAGCAAATCCCATTTTTCCATGATTCTTTTCCCTTTAAAAGAGTTACGTTTAACACCATTTAAAAAGAGTACTTACGAATCAAACAGATTAGACCAGTTTTATCAACTCGTGTTTTTTCTTATCTCATTTTGCATTCTTTCTTTTTGATATTGAATATTCCTTTTCACTCTATATATTTATTAAACAAATTTCTTATTTTTATTTTTTTTTTTTTTTTTTTTTTTCGGAGGGTACACCATTATCTAATCTATTTGTTATTTGGGCGTTTCCTTCTTTTTCTTTCTTTCTTTCTCTTTCACTGCATTTACCGTTTTCTTTTCCTTGGTCATTTCCCATTTTCTTCATGTGGTTGTCATGTCAATCAAAATAATAGATATATAATTCTACTATCCATGAATTCAACAGCGTTTGGAGGAGGTGGAGAGGGACGCCAAATACAAAGGCTCTACAGGCAGCACTAAAACGAGTGAGTCTACGTTTGTTAAGAAAATAAAATGTCTTTAGATCTCATTTTAAAAATCATAAAAAAGTAGAAGGATGAAAAAATCGACTTATAAAGCTGATGTAATGCGCAATAAAAGTCGCTTTTCTTTTCATTTTCAACAATTTGACATTATTATTCTTGGCTTTTGTGTAACAGATTTTTTGAAACTATTTTGTCATCCATGTTGACGTTTTTAGTCTTGGCATTTCCGTGACAATAGACACTATATTTTACACTTACTTCCCTTTCCCACCGTCACTCCCGCTGCCGCCTGCGCCTCCCCCGCAGCCATGTTCCAGTGGCAACTCAACACCCTGCGCAACGTCACCAGGGGCATGGCGACCAACCTCACGACCCTGGAGAACCAGCTGACGTCCTTACGAGACTCCGAGGCCCAGCTCAAGAAAGAGCTCCAGGCGCTCCAGCAGCAGTCGGGGCAGGCGGACCTCGACCTGGACGCCCTCGAGGCCAAGGTAGGCAGCGCAGCCAACCTGACGGCGAGGGTGAAGAGCTTGGAGAAGAGGATGGCGATGCGCGACGCGACCCTCACCACGGGCAACAAGCTACTGTCTTCGTGAGTTAATTTTCGGGCCTTTATGTCTGCGAGTGAACAGCGTCTTTTGGGACGAATGGACAAGGGCACTCGAGATGTCATTAGGATGGGAATAGTAATGATAGATTATTATTATCATTATTTCATCTGTTTTGTTTATTTATTCATTTCGTTTTATCGTTATTATTTGTTTTATTTTATTATTATTATCTTTTTTGGGGGGATGAGGACATTATTAGGAAGTATGTTTTCCGTCTTCCCCACTTCCTTCTACTTTCTTCTGTTTCTTCCTTCTACTTTCTTCCTAAATATTACCATTTCCCAAAATCAATTTTCACCTTTCCCTTCTTATTCTCAACTTCTCACTATTCCCTTCCTCTTTCATCATTCTTCTTCCTCTTCTATCTCCCTTGTTCTTCCTTCATCATCCCTTTCTATCTTCCCTCATTCCTTTTCCTCTTCTCTCTTCCTCTCTCCCTTTTCTCCCTTTCCCCTTTTCTTCTCTTCCTTTTCTTTTCCTCTTCTATCTTCCTCTCTTCCTTTCTCCTTTCTTCTCCCCTCTTCCTCTTTCCTCTTCTCTCTCTCTCTCCCCCTTTCTCATCCCTTTTCTATTACTTCTCTTTCCTCTTTCCTCTTCTATCTTCCTCTCTTCCTTTTCCTCTTCTCTCTTCCTCTCTCCCCCTTTTCTCATCCCTTTTCCATCTTCCTCTCTTCCTTTTCCTCTTCTATCTTCCTCTCTCCCCCGTTCCTAATTCTCCCCCATCGTCCCGCAGACTCGCCGCCGGGGGGTCTATGCTGAACGCCCCGAGCGGGAAGGCCCCGGTGACCTTCCTCAAGAACCCAGGTCAGATCGGCTTCCCTATGGGCCCTGGTCCGTCGGGCGGTCCTTCGGGGGCGACTCCTTCAAGTCCTGGCTTTGCTGCATCCCCGAACTCGGTCATTTCTGGGAAAAATGCTAGTTCGATTCCAGTCAGCAATGCGGGAGCGAGCGGTGGTCAGAGTACGCCTAACACACCAAGAACCACCGTTAGTCCAGGACTCGCTGGTAACATGGGGGCCGCTAGTGGCCCAGGAGCAACTACTAACGCGATTGTAACTAGTACACCTAGGACAACTGGTAAAGCAAGTGTAACAAGTTCCCCAGGTACCACTGTTAACCCAGTTAATACAAGTGTAACTAGCACCCCAGGACCAGCTAGTAGCCCAGGAAATACCGTTAACCCCGGAACAGTTGGTAACTCAAGTGGAACTAGCACCCCAGGACCAGCTAGTACCTCAGGAGCAACTGGCAATACAAGTATAACTAGCACCCCAGGAGCAACTAGTAACCCAGGGGTAACCAGTACACCGGGGACACCTATTAGTACAGGAACAGCTGGTAATCCAGTTGGTAACACAAGTGTAGCTAGTAATCCAGTGGCAGCTGCTAACCCAGGAGCAGCTAGTAGGTCTGGGGTACCCGGACACTCAGGAAGTGCTGGTACGCCAGGGGCACCTGGTAAGCCAGGGGCACCTGGTAAGCCAGGGGCACCTGGTGGGCCTGGGGCACCTGGTAAGCCAGGGGCACCTGGTAAGCCAGGGGCACCTGGTAAGCCTTGGTAAGCCTGGTAAGCCAGGGGCATCTGGTAAAACACGGTGCCATAAGAGCATCCGGTCCTGGAGCAGCTGGTAGCATTGTTAAAGGAGGGTATCTGGGAGCAGCTGGTGTTGAGTCAAGGGGTATGTCAGCTGACAGATCAGCTGTCCTATAAAATCAGCTGGTTTTTCGAAACGTTTTTTTTTTTTTTTTTCTTTTTTCTTTGTTAATCAAAAACCATGGATGTTATTTGATACCATTTTTTCTTGTTCTTGAATATTTCTTTTTAGAATTCATGAAAAAGTTGTTTTTTTGTTGTTGTTTTTTACAATTATTTCTTAACACCCATACACATTCATTTCAACAGTCACAAGCATTTCTTGTCTTGCAGATAATCGTAATATTCTCATATACTTTTCTACATTTTTCTACATGAATACGGTTTTCACCAGCATATCTTGTTTACTCCTTACATTTCTATGAATATTGCTGGTCTGACAAGCCGTGAATATTTCTCATATTATGAAAAAAACATTATTCTCATAATTCATGAACCTTTCTAACATTTATGTGCTTGCATTGTTAAAGCATAAACCTTACTTCTTTTAATATTATTATCTTCAGTTTTGATAATTAAGATATGTGAACATTTAATGTTTTCAAATTTCATTAACATATACTTTTTTTTCCTTTTCATTTTCCATGGGTATAACATTGCTTTCCATAGAAGCATATGGCATAATTCAAACCCAAATATCATTCTTTTCAGGATTTTCACGTAATATCCACATACATTCTACTCATTTACCAATCCATGCCCTACAAAACCTTCTTTTATTTATCCAAAAGAGATGTCATCCTCCCCTTTCATAAAAGACATTTCCCCTATATATTATAACGACTTTAAAACATCGTTTCTAACACCTTTGGAGGAGTATCTGTTGTTCGAGTATCCGCTCATGGATAACTTTAAGGTCCCTGTTTAAATCCCCTTCTTCTTTTGGGGTCAACGAGCATTGCTGATCCTCCCGTGAGGCCTGTGTACATACTCTTTGTATATGAATCCCATACTGCATAGT